TGTATAGCATTTAATGGAGCATAGGTTTTTTTGATTCTAAAATCTGTACTAAACATCTAGTATTTTTCCTATCAAATTTTTGGATAATTCTTCGAAGAAATCATAATTATTCAAACTCAAAATCTCTTAAACGCCATGCACAAAATGTTGTCGATTCTTTTCGTTCACACGTCTCTTTATTGAACATCAACATTTCGCAAAGATCTCCTGTGCTATATGAGTTATCACCTAATGAACGCTATCTTTTCACCAAGTATGTCAAAAGAGAACTGTTCGCTGAAACAATCTTTCTTATTTAAAATTAACTTAAACAATTATTTGTTTGATATCTTCAATCTTTTAATTAAAATCAGGGCACCTGAATAAAAAATGGTTCCTAAATTTGTTAGTAGTAAATTCCCTACTTACCATTTAATTAGAATTTCATTTTCTTTATGTTTTAAACAAATCATTATATTCTTGATCTTATTAGTGACAGTTTGAGCTTGGATGTTGAAAGCTAGAGTTTTATTATTAGTAACAGTAAATGTTTGTCTACTGTTATTATTCAGAAACGATTTCGACAGGCTTCTGTTGGAATTGAATTTGGTTATACTAGTGCCTTGATATAGCCTTATTTTCAGTTTTGATAGCGACCAACGAAGAAGTTTCTGAGACACATCATTTCCTACCTAGGATTCATCAGTTTGTCAGTATACCAATTTTGTCTGTGAGCAAACTGATTCGGTTGGTACAGGATATTAACAATAGGGCAATATTTAATCTTGAAACCATTAATAAATAAGACATCTGCTGAACAACTTCCCGGGTATTGTAATCAATAGTCTAGAGAATAACCTACTGGCCTTCGAATTAATATCTATTTATGAAAGATAAAACTGAAACAATGGTACATTCAAACGAAGAATCTTGAATAAAGTCATAACTATGTCACAGGTTGAAATCATGAGTCGATTGAAGCTAGACCACCATGGAAAACCTGGAAGCACTGGACCCATTCTGATCATAACTATGTCTTACAGAAAACCATTAGTTAAGATCCAACATCAAATAAATCTTTTATAAGTGGTTATAAAGTAATTATATTTAATTATACGTATGTATAAAGTAATTAGAGGAGAGCAGATAAAACAAAATCATTTTACTCCACAATATGTGTTGATTTTACTTAATCAAGAGAATCACTTTTAAAAATTTAATATATGAATAACAAGTCTTTACAGTATAATTGAAATAGAAAATACTAACAAGCAAAAGCCAGTTGTCAAATTAATGATGGTAATAGACCGAGTAGTATATTTTAATTGACAAATTGTACTTTATCATAATGTTCATTGCTTTAGGTAACTAACTTTATTACACCTTGTCCCGTACATGTAGTCGAAAATCAATGAAATACATTACTAGTTATTTTCTTTAAAAAAATACATTTTCATGAGATTTATGGTATACAAGAACTCTGGTTTATTGAGGATGAATCAAATACATGGATTTATAATTTATTCAAGTACATAATAAAGTATTGTTTACTAGTCATTATTTCTAGTTAGTTATTACTATGAGAAACCTTAGTCTGATATCAGTCCATTAAGTGAAACTAACGCGGAATTCAAAAGTTGTCAGGCGTATTAATATAAACTTATTGTAAATTTCATTATTTATTGCCCTGAAAAAATATGTTGATACATGAAATCTTTTATCCTTTATAATTTATTTTATGAATTACATTATGGATTCTCATTGAATGTATATTATTTACTATTCAGTAAGATAAATTGAAGTGATATTAGTAGTTCATTTAAACCAAAGAAGTTAGTACTTCAGAAGAATAATTAGTAGAGGTAGGTGTGGAAACAAACAGTTTTCTGCAAATCAAGATTTCCTGATAAATGAATGGATCTAAATATAAAAAAGCTAGTCAAAAGTAGTAATCTGTGACTGAATTAAGATGATAACTGCATGCTCCTTATTACACAACGTAGTCATAAACACACGATGACTCTATAATCTATTCAAAATTCATAAGTCAAAGTTTGTAGATTCGGTTTTAAAAATGTATAATTCTCTAAACCATAAGTTACAAATTGTCTGGGCTCAAGCCTGAAACCAAGTAATCGTAAACAGAGGGATCAAAGAATTATTGGTTTTACTTTCTAGGTAAAAGATAAAGATTTAATTATGAAACGCATGATTTTTCTGGATCTTTCCCTTTTGTTCATGAATAAACAATTAATGAAGACAACTGGTTTTATGTTACAAACATCATTTCAATGTAAAAATTATCAAGGATAGTCCTAAATATTTACTTTTAAGGTATACGACGGACGTTCGACGTTTTCCTCAGTAAAAAAATATTATAGATGAATTGATGAAACTACGATCCGACCACCATTAAGCCCTAGCTTTACTGAATTTTGTCTTTCAAAGTTAGAAAATGGACTTCTAAAGTCAAACTTGTTCCAGCCTTATGTTGATGACACATTCATCACGGTTGATCTGAAAGGAAAACTGTTAAGATAAATTAACATTGTCGATCTTACAATCAACCTTACTTCGGTGGAAGGAAACTATAATAAATTGCATTTGTTTGGTGCATTATTGTCGGCCGACTAACAGAAATGCTTGTGGCAAGAATTCGCGTACATCTTAATATCAATATTTATATATTTTTTATATTTATATTTTATATATATTTTTAAAGAACCACATATATACAGAGCACTGAAATTCAGAGAGAGACTATTCGCTTAAAACCATTTTTAGTGGATCTACCATACATGTAAAATATAGCTAGCCATGTCCTAAATGGAAAATTAATCTGAGTTCTGTAAAGAATTTTTATACGGCTATTTCTAATCCCTTTCTAGTCAATCAACGTTTCCTGCTCAGCTAAGAAATTGGTTTCCTGGTTTCGCCAATTCCATGTGTGTTTAACAATTCATCTTCTCTTGTGCAGAAAGTTCTATTGAAGTCATAATTATTCAACTTATCCAAAATAATAGTGAACAACTCTCTTTATGGTTTGGAAAAAAGAGCTGAACTTTTTGGAGTGAATAACCAATTACTTGGTGTTTTATCCAACTGAATTTAACCACGTCTCTTACAGATCAACAATATGAGATTTTATGATCAAAAGAAGACCTTTATACTCTTGTTTCTCTCCAATCCAAAAAAGACTTATTAGACTGATCCTACTAGCTTTTCCACTTGTTTGCTTTTCTTTACCACCATTCATATTTCTTCTTTACTACTTGAATATCTAAGTTGATGACATGCTTCCAGATGGATTTCTAAAATCTTAGTAAGAATTCATGATAAGAAATTCTGAAATATCGGGGGCATAACAGTTGTCACTATTGGCGTTAGACGATTATCGTGCTAAATAGTAAGAGTGACTAAAGTTGTAAACGAGTTTCGTTGGTTGACGAATATCATCAACAAACAAAACCAATTTTCTCTTTGAATGATTACTTTTACTAAGTAGTTTATTTTCCTAAATTCCAATCTGTTTTCCTATTTCAAAATATCTGTTCATGTTATCATGAATAATGTTACTACTATAAATCCTGCTATACCTGTCATCTTGCCATCACCTTTTACTTACTATGTTTAGTCATCTAATCTATTTCACTGTTGTTTTTAACTTAAACACAGTCTTGATTGGTTTATATTTCTCATATGTATATGAAACTATTACTGTACATAAGTGCAAAGCTTAGTAATGATTTAAATTGAAAACCATATTGGTTATGCCCTTAAATACAATGTTTTATAACTGTATAGTAACGTTTGTTTAGCACATAAACACACACACATATTAGATATTTTCAATTAGTTTACCGTTCATTGCAACAAAATAAAGTACTTCTTGCTGTTCATTAAGTGTTTAAACGATTGTTGTAAACTCGCTCTTACAATAACTCCGCTCCTAAAACCAGATAGTAGATTTTATTCACTTTTCAGTAATATTGTTAAACTTTGCCATAGTGATAGAAAGTGCTCTAATTATTCCCATTGTTGTTGCTAATATTATTGTTAATAAACTACTTATCCTAATTACTTGTTGGTTTAAACAAACAGGAAAGAATCGATTTTTTCAAAATACAACTACTGAACAGAAAATGAATCGTTATTGGGAAAAATAGGTCAAAAAATGGAAATCAATGGATATACATTAGCTTCTGAACAAACTAGTTGAATGATACAAAATTCATTGTATATTATCGCCTGTTCAGTGACTCCTAAATAGCCACCATCTTTTGATGAGAATTGAAGAATTTGGAAGTAGTGGATAAAATATAATTTTGATCAGAATGGGGATTTATGGAGATTGTAGTAATTTTAATAGTTGAATTCATGAGTCGATATAAGCTAGACCACCACTGAAAACCTGAGAGCACTGGACAGTCAGTTCATCCTAGTATAGGACTCCTCAGCAGTGCGCATCCACGAACCCGGCCTCCGCGGTTTATGAACCCATGACCTTTCAGTCTCAACTATTAAATTATTATAGTATCTACGAAACCCCTCTGTTAAATAATTCGTTAATTTTGTTGTAATTATTTTCAAATGTTAAATGATAATCTTAATCACTATTTTCTATATTGTATTATATAGTACATATATATATACTACTAAATACTGTTTGTTAGTAAATAATATTCAAATTTTTCATACAGAATATCTAGAACTTCTAAAAATACGTAATTAGTAAAAAAATTTCTAATAAAAAGCTCTAAATATTGATATTTGACTAAAATCTGTATTGAGAATAATTGATATTTGAAATTCAATATAATGTTTACTATATACATAACTTGTCATTCAAACAGTTAGAAAGGAAAGAACAAAAAAGAAAGAAAAAAAAAGAGAAAACAAAATCGAAATCTTCAGGCTCATCATTTGAAAACACACTGTTATAATATTTTTCTTTACAAACTATTTGTTTAATAAACATATATAGTAAATTTGTACTGTTTCTTTAAGTAATATGAATGCATTTTAGAAGCAAATTACCAAGTGAATGTTTATACTTATTAAATGGTCCATGTTCATTAACAATATTGGTAATTATAATGAAATATTTATTTAGACTCATCATCTTCCTTTGGATTATCGCATTATAATGGTTATTTCATAATATCTGTTATAAGCATATTGTTATTAATCCATAGATAAGATTCATTTTCTATTAATTACAATTATAAAATTTTGGTTGATTACCTAAATCAACTAATATATGTGTAAATAGTTGATGTTCAGTAACCTTTAATACTTTATAATTTAATGAAGATAGTCCATCATGATGCATTCGTTGTACAGCTGTAGATAAAAGTTTTAAATGAATTTTTCGCGGATTCCCTTCTTTATTTTGTGTTTCATGAGGTAGTGCTTTATAACGTGCAATACTTGGAGACATTTGATAATAATTAATTTTTTCATGTTTTAATCGTCTTTCTAAATCATCATCTTCTTGTCCCCAACCCCAGTATAGATTAGAATGTCCATTTACTTGTACAAAATGTTTATTTGACATTTTTAATACACCACCAATAAGTTCTGGATAATTTAAACGAAAATTTCTAATATCTAAACCAACACCAAGATGAATTGGTTGTATGAATGTTTGTTTATCACATCCATAAGGATTCAAGTCATTTATTGGAGCTAAGTCAGCATCATGAAAAATAACACAATCAAAATGAAATCTATTCATAGCTTCCATGAAACCAACATTGAAAATCATACCTCGATTAAATAAATCATTTCCAGCTTCTTCAATAACAAATATTCGGTAACATAATCTTTGACGGCGTAACATAGGTATTAGTGTTGATAGTACACTTGTTAGTTGAGCCCATCTATCACGAAATGCTATAACTATAGCGACGCCAGTTTGATTATATTTTCCAGCATTATTTTTACATTTATCAGATGTTTTATATGTCCAACCGCCACCTTTTATATGTGGTTTGCTTAAACTGATCACTTTATACAAGTCTGTTACCAATTCTTTAGAAACAGAAAGATTACCGATTGGAGTGTATTTATGAGACATGTTTATTGGTATTACTGGTAGTTTGTCACAGATTTCTTGACATGTTTGCTGTGTACTGAAGTATGGAGAATTCTCTAATTTTATACGAGTTAGTTTCTCGGATTGAACATTGTCAGCTAAATAAAGATTGCGTAACTCATTTTGTAATTCCAATAAACAGTCGAACTGCGGTTCATTAGATGTCTGATTATTCTCGCTTTCTTGTACCTTAGTTTTTCTTTTCAAAATTGCTGATTTTATTAATGTGATGTCTACAGTTGGCCAAATTAGTAAATTTATCAATAAGAGAGACGTAATCATAAAGCATAAACTGAAGTATACAATGAAAAATCTCATTCTGAACAATCTGATACTTCTACATTTCATAGCTCTACACATAAAAAATCGTTCCTTGTTTTATACGTAAGTTTATGAAACACATAATTCTATTTACTTTTTATTGATCAGAAACAGTAAGATGTGATTGGTCAGTAATGAATATTGAAAATATATCCGCCGATATATATATAGTGTATGGCAAACTCATGCAATTATCGTTTATCAAATAACATTATAACCTGTTTTAGATGATTCTGTATAAAGTTTCAATAATGTTTATAATTAGCTGTTAATTGAATTTCATAGTCATCTTAAAATCCATTTTGCATAAAATAATAGGTAACAATGGCCTCAATATATTAGTCCTTCATATTACTATTAACAACGAAGTATATTTTTATTTACGATTCACTAAGTTCTCAACTATTTGTTTAAATTGGTCAATTTTCTTAATATTTTGCAGATTGTTATTTTGTTTTTTTATTCAATCATTGACCTGAGTCACATTGATATGGCAAGCCAATCAGAAGAAGCGTAGTGAGAAAGTCAATCGATAACAATCGGAAGTGACCTAAATGTCCTTTTCAATGGGGTCGATAGGTCAATTTCCTAAGGATATAGTGGTATATATGTCAATGAGTATTTATGCATTTCATTCGGTAGGCCAACACATTTTCTCGCTCAAATAGTCAGGTGGGTGGTTAGAGCGTAACGCATTGTGTACAAATATCAGACTCCGAACACAATACGTCACAACACTCAAGTTAATCAAACTTTTGTGCTAGTTTTATGACCATTTTTCATTTAGTTTATTTATTTTAAAGATTCCTTTATAAATTATGATCACAAAATTTATTGGCACGAAAGATGATAAACGATTATAAGAGAACAGATCTTTAATAAACAACTGATGCCCTAATCTTTGACATCCACTTGTATGACCTGTACTTAATTAAAAACCATTTTATTGCAATTCATTACAATTATTCACGAAAAATTTGAGTTTGATTATAACTTCTTTAATTCACTTTTTTTCAATCTTTCACGATCAAAATAAAATGTGTTTGATCTTTGTCAATACTATTGACAATTTAAATGAAATGCTGTACAAAGATTTAGTTAGCTATATATACATATATTCATAATGTCAGAATGTGACCTACTGAAATAAATAGATGGATATCATTTGTTTAATATATCACTGACTCAGTACATGAAACTTAATGCTAACTGTTCATGGTAATTCAATATAAACATTAGCCACTTGACCAAATGAATAAAGGTATTGTATTGTTTGATAAACAGTTATAATATATCTGTTTGTAGGTATGTGTTAAAAAACTGGCTTAGTTTTAGTTGTCAGCTTAGAACATTTTTTCTAGTCTACTGAACAATATTGAATGGTCACCATAAACAAATAGTATAGACAAGATTCAAAATTATTTCGTGAATATCTTTTACTTCGAATGTTTAAAACGAAATTGGTTTCGTTAACAATTAGATAGTAAATTATTTCACAATGTCAAACAGTTCCGTCCAAAACTAATGGTTTTTAATGTTTGATTTACTACACTGAGTTGTAATGGTATTAGAAGATGAATAATTTATTATAATTTCAATAAATTTGGCTATTGTAACATGAAAAAGTATATCTAGGCACATTAAAACAACAAAAAAGTAGTTACCCCAAGTTCTAATAAATACAATTCTATGCACATAAATACCTTCATTTAATTCCTTTTGTTATGAGTTCATGATAGTGACTACTAAATTCAGTCTTTATACAAATAACCAAAGGTACGATATATTTGTACAAAAGTTGTTTACAAAACAGTAAAACAAACACCATGGTTAAGTTATGACAATCCTGTAAATGAAATATAGTCATTCTAAATTTATTTATTTAAATTTATTAGTATACCAGAGAATAAACTCTGAAAAAAAATGCAAAGATTTTACACTTATACTTTGCAATTGCTGAATAATAGAATTTATAGCTACTATTATTGAGCCAAACAGGTTTACTTTTCGAAAGTATTTTCATTTCAAATAGAATTCATGTAATTGTCAAAAATCTAGAAAGTTATTACTTCTTTCAGTTATGAATCTCTAAATCATTTATTGTCTATTAACATATTTGGGAGAGGGTAAGTTGCTTCATGATTTGAACCTGGCTGGAAAAAAACACATAATAAAAGCTAAATAACAGTGGCAGTTAACGGTTTTCCAAAGAATATCAGATCATTACAAAAACTACCTTCTAAATGTTTTTCAAAAGTGTTTCATCAAGGCATCCTGATGATTTTGTTTAGCGAAAAACAGGTAACAAAAATTAATATAAATGAATAACAGATAATAATTATGTAATGAACACCTTGTTTTAAAGTAAATAACCACTGTATATACACAACAGTGATTAATCAATATACGAGTGGATTATAGTCATGTTTTCTGTAGGAAAGATTTATTTTCCAGTCACTAAAATACTTTATCATCATTTGGAAGATTAACGTGCAGGATATATATATATATATATATATATATATATATATATATATGCAAGTTTAGAAAATTTGACCATCAGCAACTCCATGCTAGATGTGCCCGCGTGTACAACAAGGTGCTATTTAAAAATAAGTGTCAGCTAATTAATGTCTGCTTATTTGAATAGTTTGTATAGAGTAGTCTAATTTAATAACAAGATATTATTAAGAACGGATATTAAAAGTCAAGAAACATTAAAACTCCGCTTTTTCCTTATTTTTCAGTAGATTTACAGATAATGTAAATCACTGACTAAAGTTATCATTTATTTATTGTATGATGTTATATTATTTTTATGCTTATTTTTATCACTACATACTAGCGGATTATATCAGTCCTTAGCAGTACATTTCAATATGTTTCCTCTAAAAAATACATTATTTAAAGGTGTAGTGAACGAAAACACAAGTGGGGACAACCGAATGTATTTGAATACAAAATTACAAAACATTTTAGTAAAATCTCAGAACCATACAGTAAATACTTCATTTGCAAACTGTCAATTGATCGTTCCATACTCCATTGTTTTTTTCGTTTCCACACCAATCATTCTTTGTTCTCCTTCTCTTTTCTTCGATCTTCTTAACCTTTCATCGCCAGGTATTTCACTTTCGACTGATGATACACACCAGTTATATCTGTCGACATCAGTAGCACACACCACCAAGACAATATACAAAACTATCCATTAAACAGAGTGTACATTGAGATTTTACATAGTTAGGCCTGTAAGTGAGTAAATCAATTTTATTCAAAACAACGATGTTAATAAAATATCAACTATTTCATTACACTTTAATGTATAGGCTGGCATTTTGTAGTTAATAAAGTTATTAATAAAAAAATTTATCTATAACTTGTCATACCAGTACCTTCCAACCACATAAATTAGCACTATTGTCAGAATTCACTTTGGTTTAAAACACAACTAACTGTACAAAGAATAGTCTTTTCAATATATTCTCTTCAGAGTCTTCAGTTTTTGATCAGAATTGATGTTCCGAAAGTATATTCAATTTTAAATCAAAATTATAACTGATGAATTTAGGATTGTTGGTAAAATATGGTAAATTATTTATTTTAAAATAATTAGCATATCATATTAGATTGAATATGTTTATAGGTGAGTTGGAATTATGAAATTAATGATCACAATCAATAAGTAACTTAAGATCTGACTGATGATTATGTAACATGAAAAATGATTTAGTATCTGAGATATAAAACAGTGAAGTGATTAGTAATCAATTATTTCATTTATTTACAACTTTCGTTATTATAACAACTAATGATACAAAGATACATAAATGATATTCAATACTATAATATTTGGATACAGTAAAATTAAGTTATGAAATAACACAATAGGGTTTCATGTATATTGGCCAAATTGTTTTTTTGAATAGAATGAAATACAGTCACTTTTTCAAACACATACTGTGAAAATTAGAACAACACATATAATTGTTTTCAATTGTTTTCAATTAGATAGTCATCAGGCTTTACTCTAATATACATGAATATTTATACGAAAATGTTAAACCAATCAAGGCAATATGGGTCAATAATCACAATGAAATAGAATAGGTCACCACACATAATATGTAAAATTACAAGTTGATAGTAGGAAGACAGGTGTACTGATAGTAGTAATAATAATAATGATAATGCTGTGAGTCAAATATCATTATTACCATTCTGATATAGTGTTTGGTCATTACTTAAAATAGATAATGTAGGTTAACAGTCTTGAGTTTTTACATCCATATAATCTAAAGCACCATTTAAAGCTGCTATAAACGTCATGAGTATTTTCTTTGGTTTGAGAAATATATACAATGTATAATCATGAACTTTTTGGAGAAGTCTTAAAAATATTTAGATTTAACACCAATGATCTTGTTGTTTTAGATCCTTTACTTAGTTTCACAGTATTTTATTCGTTTGAAGGAACATTCGACAGACAAAATTCGGGAACTTATCTTATGCAAAGACTTTTTGATGAGACTATAATTTATAGATGACCTATAGGCGATATTGGAGTGACCTTGCAAAAGTTCAACCACTTGCTACGGTCGAGATAGAGTTATGGATTATTGTAAGGTATTACGGTCAGGATCTGGAGTTAGACGTTAGAGACAGGGATTAGAATCATGTTTTTTTACCACTATGCTTTAAATCCCTATCGTTACATATCAAAATAATTTCAGTTAATAAAACATTAAAATACTTACGTGATACTTAAATTAGATAGAATGTTTAAAAGCATAGTAAGGTTTGTCGAACATAAAATATCAACCCAACTCTTTACTGAAAAGTTTAAACATTTTCAATGGAATTGCTGCTTAAGACTTTTAGCTGTTCATTTTACAGACTTGATTATCTTGAATACATCTTTGTTGTTTTCTGGTAGGTCAAGAAAGTAATTATAAAAAACC